AGGTCAGCACCTTTGTCGCTGTAACCGTAAATAGAATCACACAGAATGTTGTCTACCAAGTGAAATTTTCGTTCGTTCATCACAAAAAATTCAAAACTCTTAAATCTCATGATCCCTCACCTTACTTTATGTGTTAATGTTGTCAGATGAATTTTTAGGTCACCATTACTAGAATCAAATATGTTTTTGTTTCTGTTACAGAGATGCTTCATTTCCAACTCATTCTAGAATTTAAGTAAAAATGTATTATTATATGAAGTTGCAGACTTCAGCATTCCTGTCACCATAAAAAGCCAAACACCTGATATTTTGTCAAATGAAAGTGAAAAGCTATATGTATTTTATATACCCATATTTAGATCTGTCCTGTTCTGAATAATTGTCTTATAACTTGATAACCGCTTAACAGATTTGGTTCAGTTTTATCCCAAAGTATCAACACATCAAGTGCTTTACATTATTGTATTATGATGATTATTGGTCAAGGTTAAAGGGTCAAGGTGTTACAACTTTTGCAAATCTATCAAGCGATGATACATAAATGTGTATGAGTTTGGATATTCATATAGTACATTTTCTATTTATAATGTGAAAATTATTTCAATGAATTTAAGATTTGGTCTGCAGTCATAGAGATTAGGATGTTAAAAATAAAACTCTTACCTAAATCATTGATTTCAGTTATCCCAGGAATCTGCTGTTCATGTACCAATGAATGCCATACAGAACATGTAAACATGGAAAAATGATAAGCAAGATGCACTTTGGTCCAAAAATAAGTTGTATAACATTTTGTGTTTGGTTAGAAAATAAGCTATATGGCTAATATTGCTTAAGGGTTGGGTAATAAAACATACTTGGCGGAGTTTTGGGAGAAAGATAGTAATGTAACTTTATAGATAAAGGTAGCATTTTTTTTCATCTTCAACTTGTCGTAGATCCAACGTTGTCTGATGGCTAATTGAATTCAAGAAGTTTTAGGGGTTGAGGTTGCCAATATACATTCTAGAATTGCCTGATCTGGATCTGAAATAATCACAAGATTATGACTCAGATGTTTTATGTATCTGTTGGCTACTAAAACTAAAGACTGCATATTGTTTATAATGTTGTTTATTCCAATATCTTGATATATAAAATTACAAGATCTATCAGATTCCTTTGGCAATTAGATAGATTCTGTAAATGCAAAGATTCTTATTGTTAACAGGAGGTTCTGATGTAGATTATTAGGGATATTTTGAGAATATGTTGGGTTTTGATTGAGAACTTTAATCAAAATCTGTTTTTGATTGACTAAGTTTAGTAGATATAGAACCAATCAAAATGAGAATGTGTTATTCTAAAACCGCAGAGAATATAAGATTTGCTTTAAGTTTCTCAATTTGTATTGTATGCAGAAAATATGAAAATTAAACTTCTGTTATACAATTTTTCACTTTTAGGGATAAAAATTGTTTTACAGTGAAGTATTGATATCAAAATTTTATTTAGACAATGAATTATAATGTATCGTAAAAATGAGGGAAAATAACTTAAAAGGGCCATTTATTTCTTTAGGAAAAAGAAAAAATATGATCTGAAGCATAATATACCTGTAAAGATATATATTTTTTTGTGTGTAAATAAAAAGATTTTATGCTTTAAAAGAAACCTTACAGCTTGAGAGTAGTGTCAGGTCACATGATCTATAGAAGATATTTAATGGCTTCCTGTTTAAAGATACTTCACAAGTAAGACCGAATATCTATGTTTTTCATGAGTGTGAAGTGAGAGTGAGGATCAAAATATAGATAAATTCTATTATACAAGTACAATCACAATCACATAAAAGGAAAAACAAATGGCAAAAGCTCATCCAAACAAAAAGTAAGCAGTTTTTAAAAAAAAAAAAGGGAAATGTTAGCAGTCTTTGATGTCAAAAACCTTGTATTCTACCATTGTATGCAGTTACCTGGTAAGAATTGCTTACAAAACTGTTTTTATATACCAAATTAGAAGAAATCAGAAATGGACATGGAAATTATTTTTGAAAAACCAATTTATGCAACCTTCACTTCATTTGTGTCGGAACAAAAAAATTAGGAAATTTCATTGCAGAGACAAGAAAGCACTGCTTTGGATGATCAAATCTACAAAAGTTATTTCATTGATATAGCAGTGGTGACCTCTTAAGTGTTGAAAAATCAAATTAGGTATGTCAACATGTTTATAGAGAAAATAAACTAGAATTATATCTAAACGAAGTAGATCTTTGTTTTCAGAATTTTATTTTAAAAAAGAAACTTAAAAAAATCCAACTAATTTATGGCCTAAACTTTGAGATAAATGGAATATACAACAATATATAATGTTCTTTTTTGGGATCCAAAGAGATTTACAACTAATGAACTAGTACATTTAACATAGACAGGATGTAACAAATTTCTGGGGTAATCTTGACAGTACAGCTGCTGAGATGCTACTACCTAGATAGCATCACAGAAACAAGGTCAGAGGTCATCAGGCACGTGTGTCAAAGGTCACATTGTCATGACCCTGAACCTCACAGGTGGATGATATCAACAGCAAGTGCTACATTCAAAATTCAAGGAAATATGATGTAAGATATCAAAAACTCTCTTCCCCTGAAAATGTGTGGCTTTGTATGATAACAAAAGTATTGTTGATGAACAGGTGCTTTGCATAAGAAACAAAAATAAAACATTTTGTTGACCCAGAGTCAGCTGATGTTACTATACGATGGTGGATGTTTGTTCTGAATGGTCAAAGGTCACACGGGGATAAAGACATCTTTTTGAAGTTCCACAGATACGGGTGTTGTTGTATTATTGTAGATACAGGATTCTGTTGTGTTTTAGATAGAAGGGCTTGGCATTTGTGAGTTTTGTAGATGTTTCTTTGCTTCACACAACTGTTAACAAACAGATTTTGGTAAAGTACACCCCATTTCTACTTCCTGTGAATGCATCCAACAACTATGGTTTATGACAAAATTGGGACAAGATCATAGTCTATATATAGTGGTTTTCAAATATATGATGGATCAATGGTTGTAGTTGATATAAGACGAACTTTGGTCCAGTTTTATAGAACATTTGGAGGACTTTTCCTAATGGTGATTCTTGAAAACTTCAACCCAGTGAATTGGCTCTTTACAGCTGTAATCTAATGATAATTTAGTATTGATTTTGCTATTAAGATTGGAAATTTAGGTCACTTGTATGTTGTGAAAGATAGCAAAAGAATGTGAATGTTAGCCAACCACCAGACAGGTGATAAGATTCCTATTATAAAGTTTGATTCTGTCCTGAGAATTTAAACAAACTACCACATCATTTCGGTCCAACTGTCTCCGGCTTCAGATAGGTGTTAGTTGCATTTGTAAGTTCAGCGATAGTATGTTTGAAATATGCAATATGTGTATGGATTACTGACTACATGTATATGCACAACAATACTATTCAATATAAAATGTTTCAAGGAATCAATTCTATATTTAAGATTTCAATGTCCAAAACATCAGTGCAGATAAAATGACATATTTTGGGTTATTCAAAGATTTGGTTATTGAATCTTAATAACTAAAGTTTTAATTCATTACAAAGCCATGAAAGAGGAAGAGAAAGGAAAGTTGAAATAGAAACAGCATTATGCCAATTTTTTCAGTCGTTGAATACTGTTCTCAAAACTCAAAATTCCTGATATGGTGCCCTTTACAGTCGAAGAATGCTTCATCCAGATGTGGTTTTCTGACATATGTATAGTCTTTGTTCCATATCCTGCAACCAGATAAAATGATTGTGTGGTTCATGTCCAAATTACCAGCTGGCCAAAGTGCCTTCCTGTAATTTCTTGGCCTGTATGGCAGTGACAATGATAATGTGATCATAGTACCTGGCAGTATATGTAACACTGGCAACTGATCAATGGGTTGTTTACTTGGCTTCATTTCAAACTCTACTTAAGTTTCCAATAAATCACTGGTTATTCATTTCCTATCATCGTTAATAATTCTTGATTGCTAGCATTGAAGGATTTATATCTTTCAATTCTCCAAAGATTATTTATTGACTGCTAAACAGTTGTATTGATTCAGAAAAATCATGCGTCATTTATCAGATTTTTTCCCCTTTTGGTGTTTTTGCCTCATTTTGCGATACAAATGAGCCATGTTTTCATCATCAATAATTGATATGGGTTTTTTAGCGTATTTTAAATGCTGTAAACATGTAAAAGAACCTTTAAATTACGACGTCAGGAAATGTAATACAGAAACTGATCGCAGAATTCTTCTGTTAAAAGAACAAAATTAGTCCCAAGTTGGTGATTATATTTAATTGTGTTTTATTGATGTACTCGTAAGGTTGTCATAACTACCTGTGGGCTCTCATTGAAGTTACAACTTCAGAAAGAAAATTGATGAATGGTTGGATGTGAGATTTTTACAATTCATGAAATGTAGATAAGATTTTATTGAGAAGAGCTAACTTAACTAACGATAAAATGATAAGTTATAGCCAAGTGGCCAATTCTGTCAGACTTATGCGCTAGTTTGATTGTTATTATCTGCTATATATACAATTTCTGTAATTTTTTATTTTTGTGTACACTTATAACTTCAAAGGTGTTATAGATATGGTTACTGTAGGTACGTTCATTGATCTTATTTTATGCATTATCAAGTTGTGTAATTGTTTATTATTGTCCAAATTGTCGTAACTTGACAATCCCAGTTGTGTAAATATGATCTCCAAGTACATGTCTAATACACTTTTTTGTGGCATCAAAGTAATTTGCCCACTTTTAATAACAGCTTGCTGTAACTTTTTCATATTCCAGATGAATACATATTACAGTGATCGAAATGTGTTTCTGTGTTTTAGTATCTGATTTTTTCTGAAGTTTATGAAAACTGTAGTAAATAGTATGATTCCAGGTTATATATATTAATACTGTTGTAAATACTCTCTATTTCCCATATTCTGTATATTTTGTAGTGTGGTGTAGATGTCAACAAATCCAATTCCTACGACCAGACAGCACTGGACATTGTGACAACGTATACTACCACACGGGCTGCTCGTGACCTCAAGCAACTTCTTAAAGGTACATGGGTATTTGCTGAAATAGTTGGTCCAAAATTACAGTTGGCTAACAAAGAAGGCATTCATCCTGAGCTCTGATTGTTTGACATAACAAACTGATTTGTTCTAAAATTTTGATTGGTTGACAGAAAAAAGACTGCTGGTCCTGGTAAACAAAGAATTTGAAATATGCCTCTCGAGACAAATTTTGCATCTTAGAAGCAAATATGTTTAAAAATTCAATTCAAAAGGACAGCTGATTAATCCACAGGTTCTCAGAAAGGCTTCAACAGTCTTTGACATTAGTTCATACTTCCTAATGTGGGTAATACTTATATTGTATATTTATACGGCAAAGTTTAAACCAAATGAAATATGATTTCTTTCAAAACTGCCCTTTGTCAACTATTCACATACTTTAAAGGGGTAACCTATCACTGACTGGAAGTAGTCATGGAATTGCTTTTTCTATGAAGGGATATCACATTTCATGACAATGTCAGTGTCCTTATTAAATCTAAAGGTTGTTAGATTAAGTCTGACGCCAGGGTGCCTTAAATTTTTAAAATGACTTCTTATTTTTTCCTCGCTTTTTTTTTGTGTGTGTGAAGTGTGTTTTTTCCCCAAAAGAAATTATATGCCTGGTTATCTGAAAGTGATAATTTAGAACTAAAATATGAAAAGAAAAAAGTATTTTTTTTTTAAAAAAAAAGAAGAAATTATGTATTAGAAATTAACATTTTAACTGTATGTGTCATTATACTATGAGACTTCAAACAAAGCTAAAAGAACTGAAGCAGAAAAGTAATAATCTGTATCATAGGACTGGAACTGGTGAATGATCAGATAAAAAAAGAAAGATAATAAATTTTGCAGACATATGAATTTTGAAATAAAGCAAAAATAAGCTAGCAATGCTTTCAAGATAAGTTATATATGATTTATATCCCCACAACAAGTTGTCAAGAACAAACACACCACTGATTTATAGGAACAAAAGAGTTATCTCCCTTCAATAAGTCACATCATGGTTAATTACAAAATTTTATAGTGAATAAAAATTAAAGGTTGTTATAGCTATCACATTTATATGGTCTGTTATATGATAATATCAGAGTCTGATATCAATCTTTGTAATCAATCATTAAAGTTATAGTATTTCTTTTATCAACTAGGCAATCTTAATGTTTTAAATTATAGGAGTTATCTCCCCTGTATTACTGTTGCCAGACAAATGATCTTAAATGCTTGTTTATTTTTCTAACTTGCTGTCAAATTTGGAAACTGTAGAGTTACTCAAAGGTAATGCTTACTGTCACTTGGTGTACTCTACTCTGTATGTTGTCCTTTGTATTCCCATAGACTTTTTGTCTCTGTGTCGATAGTGTCTACTCAGTTGTGAAATTCTGTCTCACACTGACTCCTGTTTTATTTCATTCATAAAATCGTGTACTTTTACATTAATATTGTGTTTGGTATTGATGCATGACCTGTTGAATGAATTTGTTCAATGATGCATGATAATTTAATGTTGTGTATTTTCTTCAGGTAGCCCATTACCCTCATTTGATAAATGGTTCATGTATTGTTATTATTTTTACACATTCATGTCAAAATTTGGTCTGGTAGTATTGTAAATGTAGTCCTGTTTTCTAATAATGTGTTTATCGTATGGATATTAATCCAGAAAGTGTTCTTGAAATAAAGAACATATATAGAAGGAAAAATTTTAAAAACATCTTATTTTTTTTTTTACATTTTTTCATAGGTAACCCTGGTAAAGCTAACCTCATAATACGGCTTTGCTAAAGAGGTGCTCTATTTTGCTTGATTGGTTGAGCGTAAACCAAGCAAGCTGGAGCTTCTGCATTTAATGTGTCACAGAAGAACTGAGATAAATTATAACCTCTGTTACACAAATATTTTGTAAACAAATCAATATATTATGACTCCAAAAGGATCAAACATCAACCTTAGAACTTTTTGTAAGTTATTTCCCTTGTCAGTGTTCATGATATGATGTATATATTTTACGAGATGTAGGTCAAGGTAAAGAAAAAGAAATGAGATGTTAAGTTTCCTCTAAAGCAAGTCATATCTGTATGTAAGCCTATGACATTTTGAATCATCATTGTTGTCGTCATCATTGTCATCATCATCAGCCTGTTAAAGGCAAATCAAAGTCATCACTCTTTCAGAAGCATGTCATGAACTTCATCCTGTTAAAGGCAGTTCAAGGTCGTAAGTCTGTTCAAAGGCAAGTTAAGCTCATCAGTCTTTAAAGGCATATTTAGGTCATTACCCTATTAAAATCAGGTCAAGGTCATCTTCATACTAAAAATATTGATAACTTAAGTGAGTATATATCAAAGTCAAGTTAGTGTGTATGTAACATAGAGTAATTCAGATAAAGGTCATCCATGGTTGTTTCCATCAAAATCACCTGTCAACTGAGAACAGGTCGAGATTAATCTATTAGTAATAAGTCAAGGTCATATATGGCTGGTTCAATGTGTTTTGACATTACTGATTATTTTCCAATAAAATTTGGGTGTGGACCGTAAACTTGATACGGTAGGGTAAATATAATTTCACAAATTTAATGTTTATTTACTGGAGTGACAGACATTTAGTGTCTCCCTGATATACACACATGTGCATGCCCAAAAAGGAATTCAGAATTACATGATCTTTATGTTACGTAAAATCAATGCTATGTAAAAAATTATCTTTCCCACTTTGAATATGTGAAAGTGCTATTGCTGTATGTTGTTGATGAATTGAAAGCTCCATTCATGTAGAAGTAGGGATTTAAAATAGGTACAACAATCCACGTTTGTTGGCAAAGATTTTACCTCCTATGTTTACATGTGGTGGATGATTCATAGCTAACTTACCTATCTACTACGCCTTCTCCCTGTCACATAAGGCATCACTGTGTAGACGTCACATTACTTAACTCCATGTGACATTATACTTATACAATATCTGAGAATCAACAGTACTTGGTGAGTTTACACATTTCTATCTTCATGTTATTGAATTGTTTTGATTTATAAACTGATTTTGTTTGTTCATCGGTCGGTAAATTGACATAAGAAGGGATTGTTATGTTTATCTCTATATGATATAGATATTTATAAATATACATATTTACCTGGCAAGGTAAAGATTTATACAATATAGGAATGAGTGAGAGGGAATTTGACACGTTTATTCACTGTCAAGATGAATGTGACCTTATTGTAACTCACCATGTTGATTAAGGTATTACAACATATACCTGTACAGGTGTACTGTCCTAGATCTCCCTCAGTTTGGTGACATACATCAGACTGTGTAACCTTACTCTCCAGACATTACATAAGAACCTTTTTAAAACTTTCACAAAATCCTTTCATTTATAAATCACTTTTACTTTGTGGGGTTTCAACTTTGTCATGTGTTTCAAAGTGTCTGTGGTTGTATACCCTGCAGACGTACATAAAAGTATGTCTTATAGAATATATTTGCTACGCTGTTAAATCTATCTTATAAAAATCTTGTCATTCTAAATACAGTTGAAATATTTCACTCTGAAAATGATTTGTTTTGCAAGAAGTATGTTTACTCAGAAACAGATGAATATATATATGTCCTGGAGGAATTATGTTGTATACATGAAAGATGACTTCAAAGTATAGCTTAGATACAATGAAATATGCCATGGCGTGGTAAAGCTTAGCTTAGACATGGCATGACATAAGACATGGTGTATCTTAGCTTAGATACAGTGAAACATGTCATGACATCGTATAGCTTAGATACAGTGAAACATGACATGACATGGTGTAGCTTAAATGCATTGAAACATGACATGACATGGTATAGCTTAGTTACAATGAAATATGTCATGACATGGTGTAGCTTAGATACAGTGAAACATGACATGACATGGTGTAGCTTAGATACAGTGAAACATGACATGACATGGTATAGCTTAGTTACAATGAAACATGACATGACATGGTATAGCTTAGTTACAATGAAATATGTCATGACATGGTGTAGCTTAGATGCATTGAAATATGACATGACATGGTATAGCTTAGTTACAATGAAATATGTCATGACATAATGTAGCTAAAACTAGTTATGGTGAAATATGTCTGAAAAGACTGACATACAATGATAATATTATCTGTTGGATCAAATGAATTAAATGAAAGTAAAGTAAAGTATTGTCTCAAAGAAAACGATGCAACCTACAGGAAATAATATATGCTAATGTAATACCAAATAACAGGCTTGTTTTGCCACAAATGAATTTCTATGTTTGGTTTCAAATCCAGAGTCTCATTTTAGGAATGCCAGAACAAGAACTAAAAATAAGTGATTCTCTCTAAATTAGAATTTACCCATTCTAAATTTGACTTACAATTTTAAAGTAAAATTATCAGAAATCAGATGCTAGCGAAAAAGGAGTGTGAAGTGGTTCATTCATCAAACAAGATCCATTGTACAAGACTACTTGAAATGGAGGCCTTATTCATGATGGGAGAACAAGGGGAAATATTTCGCTTTCAGTTTTCATTATCTGATAAACATACAACTGTCACAGAAAGATCCAACTGAATACAGTGTAGCTGTATGGATAGGTACCAACATATGTGAGATTGCACCATCTAGTGATAAGATATTTTGTGCTATTTTATCATAGTCTCAGTGGCTGTACAATACCCTTTAAAATATGAGAGACAGATAATATATATACTTGATTATGAATATTGACATGGAATGGGTATGCTGAGGATGACAACTGGTCTGGTTTGGCTGCAGTTTTAAACAGAAAGTTGTGAACATTATAAACTTTACAGAGTAAAAACTGCTTCAACTAAGGAGGCAATATAAAAGTCATAATTAAACCGCAACATTAGGTAAAGTGCATCAACGTCAGGTAGATGACAGTAGATAAAATAAATACATATGCAAAATGAGTACTAACATAAAAATTTACTACCTCTTTATATTGCTATATGCGTA